TTTGAATATTACATGTTAATAACTTGATTGGAATTATAACCTTGAGTTGACAGTTTGATACTTTGAAAATTTTGAGCCAGCCCTACCCCCAAGGGCTGTAGGGTGGGGCTCAAGGGAGTCAGTGTGCTAAAATTTCTTCATTTTCCTTGTTTAGAATCAGAGGTGCTAGTTTCAAATCCTTTTTAGTCTGAAATCTGTATGCTTGATATTGAATAAGGTGGTTTTATTGTTTTTTGTCACTTTGAATAATATTTCTGTTCATGTTAAAAACGAAATCAACTCTCTGTATAAATATATCAGGTGACCGTTAAGGCCCATGGGCCTCTTGTATGTATTGTAAATGTAATGCAGTTTACAAATATATATACATGTATACATGTGTTGTGTAGGGTAAATCCGCTGTGTTTACATTTCCTCGACATGTAACTTGTTTATCAGAGTCGGGCCATTTCTACTGTATTCTGCTACCTAGATAGCGCACTTGCCTTTCACTAAGACGGCTGGGGTTCAATTTCCAGATCGGACTTGAAAATGTATGGGATCGCTTGCCCGATGACTTGTGTTTTCTCCCGGGTACTCCGGTTTCCTCCCACATTAAGACCCCCACGCACTAAGTTGAAAAAACATGTTTCATAATTATTGTACAATGTAAAAGTAAATTTAACACTTCAATAGTAAATTGTTTAAAGGACTTGAGCAAAACTTAAGTTGGACAAAATTAATAGGATTTATAGCATAAATGTTGTTTTATTTAACTCAGCAAAGGCAGCGTCAACAAGCACAACAAGACACTGGAGCAGAGAGAGAAAGAATATGCAGAGGCCAGACTAAGGATACTCGGTTGCGCCTCAGGCGGATTTGAGACTGAACAAACAACAGACAATAGGTAACTGTTTTATATTTTATTGCCCTGTTTCTTGGGATACATGAAGATTACTGTCCTGTCCTGTGAAACTTTTAGCCTTGATCACATGCTTATTCAGGAGATGAAAACTTTCCATTTTCAGAGCCAAGATTGATATCGTATAATTCTTACTTGATTGTATTTGACACATTTAACTATATTAAAAAAGAATATCATGTTGAAAAACACAGTCAAGTTGATTTCTAACTTAAAAAATCTGGTTTCAGACCTTCACCAAGGCAAGCACAACAGAACAATAACAACAATGCTACAGACATATTACGGCAGCCCCGAGGCCCTGACGGTTCTAACGGTTTTGACCAGCTGAGGTAATACACAAAAGCAATGGTATGGACATATTATAAATAACCTTGTCGTAATCTGGAGAGCTCCTGTAAGTCACAGGGGTCCTGTTGGTGATGTCGGTTTATGAGTTGCCAATATGGACCATTTGGCAGTTATTTAAGTATCAAGTAGATACATTATTTACTGACTTGAACATATAAGTGAGCTTTCTGGGTTACTGACAGGAACAGACTGTGCTACCGGGCTACCAACCTGAAGATGGCGCTACGTGGATAACAAATGTGAACATTGGTATATCCAAAGTAAACTGAGTGTGCTACCAGCGTTATCGACATGAACAGAGTGAGCTACCTGGGCTACCAACATTGACAGAATGAGCTATCCGGGTTACTGGTGTAAAATGACAGCTACCTGGTTTACTGCCAAATATAGCCAGCTACCTGGGCTACCAACATGAACACAGTTTGCTATCTGGGTTATTGACATTAACAGAGTGAGCTACTTGGGTTACAGATGAGATTTGAAGGAGCTATCTGGATTTAAATTGTAAGCAGAGCAAGCTGTGTGGATTTCAATGTTGAAGCAGCCATGGAAGTGTCTGGTAATTCTAGTACATTAAAGTACAAAGGCTTTTTACCAGATCAGATTCACTATAGGTGCCCTACAGATGGAAGGCAGTGCTGCTGTGTTCATCATCTGTCAAAGCTACAATGGTACATTCCATGTGAGGTACAGTTATCTCCCATGGATTATAGTTAAACATAGGTCTTTTTTAAAAATCCTCACGTTGGGCAGTGGTTTCCTGTAAAATTAGTAAAGAAGAAACCATGTTTTCAGTACTATTATAGCTTTGGTGACCTTATCAGGAAAATATCTCCAAAAGAACATGATATTTCTAGACCTGTGGTAACATATTTTTAAGTCCATTGTAAGCTTGACATTTCCAGGCCACACAAAATGAAAATGTCCTTAATAATTGAATTAAAGCAATAACAGTCTCTTTTCTCAGGGTTATCTCCCCTGGCACGATACAGAGGTAATGTGCCTTGAAGTGAACACAGGTCTCTGCAGTATTATAAATAAACACATTGTAGTATGACACATTGTGTCACACTATGTTTATGTACCATCCAGCTCATTCAGCTGCCTATTGTGTTCATCTTCTTTTGTCCATGCATTCATTTAAATATTTGAAGAAAAAGGAAATTTTGATATGCAGGTTAAATGTAGATACATATGCATGTGGTTCGAGTGCAAATACATGTAACAAGGTTTTTTAAATTTGGTTGACAAGACTATATAATCACAGCCCCTCTAATAACACTTATTAAGTTAAATGATTAACCCATATTTGTAGAACTTTCTGTATCCTTCCAGTTTGAATTTGCGACCGTTAGGGGCATACTTGATACTGTCTTTTCTATATTTTTATGCCTCCGTCCAAAACATGCACATAAAGTATTTATGCCTCAAACAAAATTTCATAAATCGCAGGCATATTGTGTTAAAACAGCTGAGGTCATACGTCAAAGCTACAAGTTATAACATGGAAAAAGTTTTCAATCAATTGAATTAATTATTACTAGCTAGGCAATACCATATTTTACAAAAAGGACTTTTTTATGCGCGACATATAGTACCAGATATCAGATACATGTACCAGTATGCATTTTGGTGAGATAAAGTGGCCTTGAGATACACAATCAAATGTCAAACATTCAATTACAGCTATGAATTTTGATACATTTTTGAAAATTTGTAACAAATTATATATTTACATGTCATCAAGTTTTGCATTGAACAACAGACCCTGACTCAGTATACTATCATCGTTTCTAGATCTGCAATGACGAAAAAAATAAAAATAAAAGAATTCAAAGGCTTCAACTAGTATTCATGTGAAAGTGATTGATAAATAATGATGAAAAATGACAACTGTATGTTTACTCAATTCATCACCATGTGTCCAATCTATAAAAAGGAAAATAAAATGTTGCTATAAATCTGCCACATGCTAATAACAATAGAATAGAACCTATCTTCATTCTACTGCTTCAGCTTCATTTTATTTATTTACATGTTTATAATTCATAAATTTGAAGTATCATTATTCCATATTTAAGCCTTAAATCTGAAAACATAAGGATAGGACAACTAACCTCTGAAATGCCTTTTATGATCATTGATTAAAAAGACATGTATATATGCTAACCTATTGAATGATGAGGAATGAATTTAATACTTGAATATAATTTGCTAAATTTAAGCCAGATTCATTATAACAGTTTTCTCAAAGACTTATTTTCATTGCCAGACTTACATTTCAACCAATTATCTATTAGTATTTGAATACATGAATTGAACAAAAACAGATATACTTGTAGCCCCCTCCCCTTTTTTTGGCTCTAGAGTTTCCCATCCTTTCACCATAATTTACTGACACTCTTGAAAAAGAGTATTACAGCTAGTGACATAAATGTTTGGCATTTTGGATAATTTTTTTTATCATTTTGGAAAGTTCTGAAATCCTTTATTTTCTTCAAATAGCTACACATGTATGTTCAGCGTAAGTATAAGGTCAATCACTGTATGTTGGGTGTACATCTACGCAGTGTCCGTGTCCCTGTATTTTACTTCATTCCCCCCCCCCTCATCATAGAGAATGCAGCCATATGTATTTACCTGTTACCTTGTATGAACTTAACTGTAAATCAAGTGCGTCCTGGATGAACATTTTATGTACTGTATGAATGTAAGTTATGTATACTTTCATTTATGTACTGGATGAATGTAAGTTATGTATACTTTCATTTATGTACTGGATGAACATGCTTCAAGTCTTTTCATATTCTTAATTTTGGCAAACTGATATATTTTGTGTTTACTTAATTTTTTAACACTATTTTTATTGATTTTTCATATGTTGAATGTGGCCTATTCAACATATGAAAAATCAATAAGAATAGTGTATCAATCAATGTATGTATCAATGTACAACTTAAAGTACTAGAAGAATAAAAAATAATATACTTGCTGTTAGTATTTCATATATCTTCAAAACAAACAGAAAATGTCTTTATTATTGAGTTTTTACTTGAATATATAATTCACTGAAAAATTGATAAGTATGGAACACAAAAACTAAGGCCACAGTAAAATCAATTACAAAGGAAATACAATTTATGTATGACTGGGGGCAGTTTTTACTTATATTTTCATTATACTTGCAAATGTAAAAACATGAAATACCTGGTACGAACATGTTACATGTCAAGATGGATAAGATAAAAGAATTAAACAATACACAGTATTACACGTACATGTAACACTCGGGTTATATACTTGAGCAATGAATAATGCTAACTAAATGTTACTGTAGGGAGGTGAGAATGATTGAAGACACTGTTGTTTGCACTAACTGTATACATTATAAAAAAATGTATCATTTATGAAACAGATCAAATATTTGTACATACAGTAATACATTTTATTTGGGTGCTGAAGATACAGTTACGTCATCCTATCTCCTGTTAAGTGATTTTTAATGTACTGTTATAAAACAAGCAAGACTTGTTGATATATTCCAAGGTTATCAAATGCGCATATCTTAAACAAATTGTAACTGATTTTGTTTTGCATATAAAGAGTATTATCTCTTTATAAATTGGCAGTAATTTGAAGCAGCTCAAGTTGCTTTGACTATGGCTAGAACGTACACTGTATGACAGAGGAACATCGTTATTATTCAACTTTTAGTGATGGGTCTGTCATTATGTATTGCCTGATGTTGTAAGTTATTCGAATATATCTTCTTATAGTTTGTGCTGAAAATATGGAATGAAATATTTTGTGTGTGAGAATGTTTGTATTAACCATACAGTGTGGAAATATCATTCATAAAATCCTACATCATCATTTGTGCACAAAAAGTCCATTTTGATTCTCAATAAATGTTTGCAGATTTTTAACCGTAAGCATTGCATTATTCACACATGTATATACTCCTTGTTATGTTGACATTTCTTTACACCCTTCACATAACACTGCCCTAAGGTGGGGTACCATTGTTATTGCTTTCATTGTATATAATAAGTTGGAATGTGTTATTTGATATTTCCCTTTTTTTGTCTATTTTACCATTTCACCTCTACATTCCAAGTAAAGTAAGTACATCATAGAACACGGAAACACTACACTGTATGTAGGGAAAGTTTTACTGCAGGTAGACTTTCGCTTTTTCACCCACCGCCATGAGGGCAAATTTATCATGGGAGTAGTATAAGTACACACCATACCATATATAGTTATAATTATTACATGGGCAAACATGGATTTTAGCAGTGAATGGCAAATAACTGACTTGGCAAAGATTTACTGGTATATAGTATTTATCTTTATATATTATGTATATGTTTAATAGGGGTGATAATTCATGTCATGAACAGTTTCTTCGATGGCATGATTTCATGTAAAAGATAACATTTATTGCCCTTATCAAGGAAAAAAATAGCATATTTACATGTCAAGAACAATACTTGTACAGGTATTTACAAGATTGATTGATGAGGTTAAATGTCATTATCACTGATAATATGTTAATTGTTTTAGCTCCTCGTAATAGGAAATTAAACTAACTATATAGTCCTAATTGCATAAATGAAAATGAATACCGATTTTATTGAAGAATGATTGAATTTACTGAATGAATAAATGCATTCTATGTGGATGAAATTAGTAAGAAATCAAGATTTCACAGTTTTTGGAAATATTAAGGTTTATACTGAAATTTAACCTTAATGAAGCATCAATATTTTGTCAAACAGAGTCCCATCATGAGAAAGGTTGTTGGTAATATATTGAAAGACATTAACTCATTCACCCCTAAAGTCTCATTTGAACTCTCCCAATTCAAAGGCTGAAATAGTTCATTATGAAATTTCAGGGGTGAATGAGTTAAGGAAATGTTCTTATTAAGAAGATGGATCTACATAAGTTGTAAAACTTTGTTTCCAAATCCAATTTCAATTATTTTGTATTGCTTTACATCATACTGTAAATGAAAAAATATATGAAATAAAGTTGATATTAATTAAGAAAAAAATAAAATTAAAAGCACTAAGCCTAATAGAGATGGTCAATGAAACAAAAACTGAATGGTACTGATATTTCACACTTTTGATATTTATATCTAACCTTCAGTATACTCGGAACAGACCAGACGTAATTTTCGTGAGTTTGAACACAACCTGCAGAGGGCAATCAAAGTTTATGTACAGATGAAATGGTTAAATGTGCGTCTTTGTTGAACGGAATGAATCGAGACGAGAAGTATCGAGACGAGAAGTATCGGCGTTTGAGCTCTTCCTTTTATTATGATTTATTTATGACCTGCAGCTGGCCAGTTAAATCTACGACAGCATTTGACACAGCTGTGGTTTAGTTTAAACATATTTATTGCCAAAATTAGACTAGGGATTAGGCACAAGTTATAACAACTTATCAACGCCTTCTCCCAATATACATTTGAAATGACATTACAATAATGACAATAAATATATACAATTTTTATTACAATTTGAACTCAAAATCTCTTGCTGGATTTAATAACCACAGCTGTGGTATTCAGGTCTTACTGCATGAAGTTGACGATGCGAAGAAATTACTGAAAATTCCTTTTCCATAGTCTTAGTAGAGGTATGTGATCGAACTGTTACTGTGTTGACAGATTTTCGGGAATGCTACGTCCATTTTGTCTTCCCCTTTTGTGTTATTGTGTCCTTGTTATATCCGCCGAGCTTCGATTTTTTTTCTGTTGTTGTCCTGACTACATCCATTAAGTTCAGTTTTTCTCTGTTGCTGATGAACAGTAAAAAAAATAGCCTTAAAAACTTTGATACTCACAAAGCAATTTTTTGTGTTTTAATTCTGAAAACAAAACAACTGTTTAGTTCATGGACTTTAAATGGTTGAGTTTACTCCATTGGTGAGTTTGTTGTCACTTTCCTGGTTTTTTTGGTTTACCTGTCAAACATTCATTTATAGATGTTAACAAACTGCCAAAACATTTAGAATTTGTCGTAGTGTTTGAAATCGCTTAAAGTTGTGAAACTACTATTTTATTTTTCCAACATTTGTTCCCAGATGATCACTATTAAGTACATAATTTGCAATTATAATAAATAAGTCACTGGAACCAATTTTTCGAAATAAGCAGTTTTTCGATTACCAACAGTTTAAATAAGATTGAAGCAGAACACGTTAATGTTCTAATTTGTTCAGGTTTCCGGATTATACAGGGATAATACATATCATAGGAGTATTGATGAACAATAACAAGAGATTTAATGTGATATTGATTAAATTTTTAATTGCATGTAATTAGCAAATACTTCAAGAAAAAAATTCAAGGAAACAAATTACGTTACATCTTATCTTAAACAATGCTTACCATTCAAATTAAGTGTCTACTATCCAGCATTTCAATGTGTCTTTGACAGAGACCCGCATTGATGCATGTATTCCGTCTTTGCGTATTGCAGAGTTATCTTCTCTTGTAAGCAGGTAGTGATTGTTACGTCATTAGTTTGAGTGAGAAAATTACGACGTTTTCTCAAAAATTGATGACGTTACTCTCACAAACAAATGACATACCAATCAATATCTGCTCACAAGTGCAGATAACTCTGCAATACGAAAAGACGGAATACTTATTGACCGAGACAAAATGTGGCAAAGGGTCTCTCCACTGTAAATAACGCATCCCATGACCCTTGCTATCATTTATATCATCTTTTTGTTATGTTTTGTATAATATGTGCACCAATCATATGTGCAAAGCGAATTTAATGTTAATGTTTTATGAAGAATAAACATATTTTTATATGTGTAAAGTAGTTTAGTTTTGGTGTTCTATTTATTCCAATTACTTATTCAACTTTATGTATTAAAGGCAATAGCTTAATGTTGTCCAACCCACGCGATTTATTAAAATCTTTCGAATGTTTGTCTAGATAGTTGATATGTAAATAATATTTAGAGGTCAACGAAAATTGCACGAAGTTTTGGATCTAAAAATATAATATGGTAAATACCTATGAATCACACACATCGTGATAAGTTAGTATTCAATATGTATAACAATTAGCAAAATGAAATAAATGAATATCGCCGCCATCATCACCATCACCACCACCACCACCACTGATGCGGTCATTTAAAGGATTTTTTGCATACAAAAGTGAACGTCATAGTTTCCAATAAGAAGTAGAGAAAAGCCGNCCCCCCCGCATATATTATATTCTTAACTAAAATTAGATCTTTTGAAGAATCACACGAAATCAAATACGTAATAAACATTGACGTGCTAGGTATAATTCAGACATATTGCATAAAATACAACTTTATTTTGATGTTAAAAATACATTGTTAAACCTTATTTACATATGCCATTATATATCTGTAAACAAAACATATAAATAAGTTCAACAAAGGGCGTTGGCTAAGACCTGAATTGAGAATAAATTAAGCGTAGTGTGCAATTTGTTGTATTGACAGTGACCAGGACCTTCCAGGGAAAAATGCCACGTGAGTTGGAGCAGGGTCAGATGTGATTGATATCTGTTTCTGAATGAGTAAACACATTGCATTACTCATTCCTCGAGTTGCTTTCAACCAGTTTTAATTTAACAACTATCCCGTTACGCTTATTAAACCTATTTATTTTTCTGACAACTTTCCTTTAAACTGTTTACCTCTCCCACCCTTATATTAAAATAACATGGTTAATATTTATTGAATTTACTGATATTTTGTGAATTAGTGAGTATTCAAGTATACTTTTTTGTGATATTTCAATTACTCGCTAATTGCTAATAAGCTCAGAATTCACAGAACACACAAAATTAAATGCCTCTAACCTCAATTACAACCATTTTGTGCAATTTTGGGATAAAGTGTGTGAGTTTGCGTTAAATGTCGCTCAATTTAATGTTTTTTTCTTTGGCTGACTATATTTTTTGTCCTTGTTGGGAATTTAATGTGATGTGTTATACTCACTTCTACACTATACCTGTGACTTGTGTTAAATGTTTTTTTCTTTGTCCCGTTTGAAATTATCATTATCATGTCATTCCCAATTGCATGCCCATTACTATGTATTCGTCCTTGTGTGCGCACCTCAGACTTTCCCAAAATTAACTAACTAGTTAAAAAAAAACCATTAAAAATATGTTTTACATGTGTTAATTTCTGAGAGAAGATGCATGTCACATTAACATAGATTACTAACATAAATTTTGTTACATAAACAAATAATTTATTCATGTAATTTTATACATGTATATTACAATACATATGAATATTAATACGAGAAAATAAAATGTCATGACACCAAAATGCAAATCATCGTCACATTAATTTGATTTGGCACTTACAACACTTGTTACATGATTGAAAGAAATAAATCTCACGTATTATAAGGGGGTAATTAAGACAATCCACTGTCATAACACCCTTTATATTTCTTTAGAGGATAATTGCTAATACTCTCCGTTGCTATTAGGTGAGTGAATAAAAGCGTCACTAGTATACGCAAATGACATTTTGGGAAATAAAAAAAATGATATATGCAGATAAACTGCAAGAACTATTTTTTTTTATAAGTTAACACATTTGGAAACCATTTCCTGCTATGTCAAACTAAGCTCAATTGACAGTAGATTTTATCTCGCATTATATATGTCAAACGGTAGGAACTATATAGCCCTTTAAACTATACTAGGTTAGGTTTGGACATAAATCAATATATCGATCTTAATACAAGTAAGAGATTCAAGCGCGAGAGTAAAACAGAGACAACATTACGCAATGATCAAGGCGTAACCACAGATTCACACGAGGAGAATAGGCACACATAGGTCAAACATACAACAGCATCAGCACGTAGGACCACGTAGTATACCACGACATCAACAATCAGGAACAAACTGTACCACAGACAGCAACATATAGGACAGAACAGATGACAGTATCAGTACAAAGGACCATGTCGTATACCACGACATTAATACACAGGGACAATCTGTACCACAGACAGCAACATATAGGACAGAACAGACAACAGTATCAGTACAAAGGACCACGTAGTGTACCACGACATTAATACACGGGAACAATCTGTACCACAGACAGCAACATATAGGACAGAACATACAACAGTATCAGTACAAAGGACCACGTAGTGTACCACGACATTAATACACAGGATCAATCTGTACCACAGACAGCAACAAATAGGACAGCAGACAACAGTATCAGAACAAAGGACCATGTCGTATACCACTACATTAATACACAGGAACAATCTGTACCATAGACAGCAACATATAGGACAGAATAGACAACAGTATCAGTACAAAGGTCCACGTAGTATACGCCGCCATTAATACACAAGAACAATCTGTACCACCGACAGCAACATATAGGACAGAACATACAACAATATCAGTACAAAGGACCACGTAGTTTACCACGACATTAATACACGGGAACAATCTGAACCACAGACAGCAACATATAGGACAGACCAGACGACAGTATCAGTACAAAGGCCCACGTAGTGTACCACGACATTAATACACAGGAAAAATCTGTACCACAGACAGCAACAAATAGGACAGCAGACAACAGTATCAGGACAAAGGACCACGTAGTATACGACGCCATTAATACACAGGAACAATCTGTGCCATAAAAAGAAACAAATAGGACAGAACAAACAACAGTATCAGTACAACGGACCATGTCGTATACCACGACATTAGTACACATGGACAATCTGTACCACATACAGCAACATATAGGACAGAACAGATGACAGTATCAGTACAAAGGACCACCTAGTGTACCACGACATTAATACACAGGATCAATCTGTACCATAGACAGCAACATATAGGACAGAATAGGCAACAGTATCAGTACAAAGGACCCCGTAGTATACCACGACATTAATATACAGGAACAATCTGTACCACAGACACTAACATATAGGACAAAACAGACGCCAGTATCAGTACAAAGGACCACGCAGTATACGACGACATTAATACACAAGAACAATCTGTACACAGACAGCAACATATAGGACAGACCAGACGACAGTATCAGTACAAAGGACCACCTAGTGTACCACGACATTAATACACAGGATCAATCTGTACCATAGACAGCAACATATAGGACAGAACATACAACAATATCAGTACAAAGGACCACGTAGTATACGACGCCATTAATACACAGGAACAATCTGTACCACAGACACTAACATATAGGACAAAACAGACGCCAGTATCAGTACAAAGGACCACGTAGTTTACCACGACATTAATACACGGGAACAATCTGAACCACAGACAGCAACATATAGGACAGACCAGACGACAGTATCAGTACAAAGGCCCACGTAGTGTCCCCCAACATTAATACCCGGAACAATCTGTACCACAGACAGCAACATACAGGAAAGAACAGACTACAGTATCAGTACAAAGGACCATGTCGTATACCACGACATTAATACACAGGAACAATCTATACCACAAACAGCAACATATAGGACAGATCAGACAACAGTATCAGTACAAAGGACCATGTCGTATACCACGACATTAATACACAGGAACAATCTGTACCACAGACAGCAACATATAGGACAGAACAGACAACAGTATCAGTACAAAGGACCACGTAGTATACCACGACATTAATACACAGGAACAATCTGTACCACAGACAGCAACATATAGGACAGAACAGACAACAGTATCAGTACAAAGGACCACGTAGTATACCACGACATTAATACACAGGAACAATCTGTACCACAGACAGCAACATATAGGACAGAACAGACAACAGTATCAGTACAAAGGACCACGTAGTATACCACGACATTAATACACAGGAACAATCTGTACCACAGACAGCAACATATAGGACAGAACAGACAACAGTATCAGTACAAAGGACCACGTAGTATACCACGACATTAATACACAGGAACAATCTGTACCACAGACAGCAACATATAGGACAGAACAGACAACAGTATCAGTACAAAGGACCACGTAGTATACCACGACATTAATACACAGGAACAATCTGTACCACAGACAGCAACATATAGGACAGAACAGACAACAGTATCAGTACAAAGGACCACGTAGTATACCACGACATTAATACACAGGAACAATCTGTACCACAGACAGCAACATATAGGACAGAACAGACAACAGTATCAGTACAAAGGACCACGTAGTATACCACGACATTAATACACAGGAACAATCTGTACCACAGACAGCAACATATAGGACAGAACAGACAACAGTATCAGTACAAAGGACCACGTAGTATACCACGACATTAATACACAGGAACAATCTGTACCACAGACAGCAACATATAGGACAGAACAGACAACAGTATCAGTACAAAGGACCACGTAGTATACCACGACATTAATACACAGGAACAATCTGTACCACAGACAGCAACATATAGGACAGAACAGACAACAGTATCAGTACAAAGGACCACGTAGTATACCACGACATTAATACACAGGAACAATCTGTACCACAGACAGCAACATATAGGACAGAACAGACAACAGTATCAGTACAAAGGACCACGTAGTATACCACGACATTAATACACAGGAACAATCTGTACCACAGACAGCAACATATAGGACAGAACAGACAACAGTATCAGTACAAAGGACCACGTAGTATACCACGACATTAATACACAGGAACAATCTGTACCACAGACAGCAACATATAGGACAGAACAGACAACAGTATCAGTACAAAGGACCACGTAG